TTGGGTATTTTAAATCTTTACCTTTCAAAAATTTTTTGGATATTTCCTCATCTATGAACTCAGAGTTTTTACAAATTTTGTATTCCTGAGTTCATAGATGAGGAAATATCCAAAATTTATGAAATAGGTAATGATTTAAAATACCCAAGAAATGTAATTGATAAATCTTTTCAAGTTGCTAGAAATACTTTTTACAATCCAAAAAGGGACAACCAGCCTTATTCAACTAAAAATTATGTTGGTTCTCCCTTACCATGAAAACTTGGTTGATATGCCTTCTCTTCTTAAGACTTTTAATATTAAAGTTGTATTCAAAAATCTTGATACAGTAAAAAACTTTTGATAAAGAATTCCCCCCAAAATGCTGATGGATGTGGTCTATAAGATTCCTTGTAAAATTTGCGATAAGTTTATTTACGGTCAAAACTGGTAAAAATCTCGAACTAAGATTAAAACAACATAAATATAGCATTAGAACTGGACAAGATTCCAATGCTCTATTTATTCATGTAAGAGATTTTAACCATCCAATTGATTTTCAAAAAGTTGAGAAAGTAGTATCAAGGAAGTCCATGGTCGACAGGAATATAATTGAATCTTGTTTCATAAAAGCAGTTTTGACAATAATATGAATATTTCCTTTGGTTTATATAAATTAGATCCATTTATAATTAATAGAATTTGGGAAGAATTTAATAATACACTGGACAAATAATTTTTAAATTTTCTTGGGTAGAATAGTTTGTGGGGTGAGTTGTGCAAAGGACCTATCCAAGTTGGGTCGGCGCGCGTCAGGTGTTTAACCGTTGTGGGATCTGATAGTGAGGTGCTGGCCAGACCCTTATATAGCTTCTTGAATGCTTTACTTTCATAGTTCCTTGATAATGTGGTAGTCACGAAAGCGCTTGGAATTTCTCTATTTTTTCGGAGTGGTTGTTTTGCATATATATATATATATATATATAATATATATATATATATATATATATATATATATATATATATATATATACACACACTTTACTATTTATACTGAATATATATATATATATATATATATTATATATATATTATATATATATATATATATATTATATATACATATATACAACACACACACACACACACACACACACACACACACACACACACACACACACACACACTTTACTACTTGTATTCTGTAAATTTGCCGACTAACGCTATTTTTAGTGTATTTTGATGCAGTTGCTATTGTTTGTGTGTCGTGATGCTGATTTGGAACACATTTTAACTGTTTGTCTTTAGCTTCAGTCTGTTCACCTGTCTTGCTTTTGTAACTATCTGTTAGTGTTTTGACGTTAACTGTTTAAAGTCTTCTTACTGATGCGATTATTTTAACTTAATGTAATATTGTGTTTACTGTGCGAAGCAGGTGTGTATGTGCTTCCTTTGAAGGTTTTTAATGCAGTTTGGTTTGTACGTGAATGTATTAAGCTGTTTGTCAAAAACGCTGAATGACTCTACAAGTCAAATCACTTCCTCTATTTGCTCGTGTGGAGGCACTAGTTTATCATGTCTACTACATTTAAAAATACCTCGTGAAACTTGTTGGCTCATCGACATGTTCTCATAAGCGCTAAACCATTATAACAATTATGATTTATTTTCCATGAAGATGGAAAAGTCAACTTTGCAGAGCGCTGCAATGTATTGATGTGTAAAGGCAGAGCTTAATGGAGTGGGCTGTTGATGCGGTTACTGAATGTCAAAGTGCTACAGTTGGTTAGTTTCTTTTAAAAAGCCAAAAAGCGAGTCTGCACTGAAATTTTTATTGGATATATTTACTGGTGCTAGTGCTTTATCCGAGCTAGCTGTAGTCTTTGGGTCTATCATCTCCAGGGAAGATCAGAACTAACGCCAAATCTGTCGGATAAACTGAATCTGCAGGTTGTTGAAGATAGTGTTCATCTGGTCTGGTACCTGGAAATGAAAGGCTGCGTATCTTCCACGAAGGTTCGTTTCCGTTAGCTCCCATCGAGGATTAACCCTTTAGTTCGGCTGGCTAGTGACATCAAGGTTGTTTTTTGCTAGACGCATTCATACAATAGTGGTCTTCAACCTGAAGAGAGCCTGTAACATAACCCAGAGGAGTAGCAATCTTCGCAGTATCCAGACTTGAATTGCGGGGCCGTCTGTTCCGGTTCCTCTCAGTTTCTAACAGATATTGGGTTTGTGCTACTCATGGGAGTTGCCCCTGGAGGACAAGGTTCCACGAGGGGGCAGCATTGCAAGCATCACATGTGTTATTGTAACCATGGATGGTGTAATTAGTGTGTCTTAGTGAGCCTTATATATAAACTATCTTGCATTGTGCTTCTTTTCATCTCCCAGGGTGACCCGTCGACGGCTTAAAGTGGCAGTGGACAACATTGCGCAGTGGGCTCCTAACAGCTACCAGTTTTCCACTCGGAAGAAAGTAACTGTTCATTTTACCCTGTCCCTGGTAAAATAGTTTGCTGCAGTGTGCTACTCCATGGTGTGGTTCTTTTGGAAATATCTTTGATCGGAGCGTAAAGCGGGACTCGCATAAAAAAACTCAAAAGTCTATGCTGTGCGGATTCTAGACATTTTTAAGGTGCTTTCCCACCATACCTGGGGGCCGAGCAACACGCCACATTTCGCCCCTATGCGGCCTTGTGCCGTCCTAGGCTGGACTATGATCGTCAGATATACTCCTTGGCTAGCTTTTTTTTTCGTGCTGCACTTGCTAAATCCTCTCCTCCATGAAGAGCTAGGCCTGTGCTGCATATTTCTGGCTCGGCATACACCTGGCAACCCAGGGGAGCGCTTTGCTCATCATGCAAGATTTCTTGTGTTATTTGGTGTTCACTTGCTCTTCTGGAATGTAGATTCGATGTCTGTGGTCGGGAGGGGGGTGGGGGGTTGGCGTCTGTGACTGCTTTAACAGTACTTGAGATATGTCTTGTAGGCAGTGGTTGGACTCTGTGCCGAGCGTTGGTGATGACTTTGGCTAATTCTTTGGCGCATAATTTTTCTCATACTTCAAAGATAAAGATATTTGCCGACTAGTCAAAGATCGATTGTGGTGATGACTTTATGATGATTGCTGATGTGGACTCGTATTGTCCACAGTTGCCAGTTGTGTGTTCGCTGCAGAGTTCCGTGCAGTTCTCGCTGCTGTATTCCTGATAGCTAGCTTAGTTGGAAGAAATTGTGAAAGATGCAACATTGGTTATTATGCGATAATTTGTGAATGTTTCATCCGATCGGCTTCATATTATAAGCATTGCCGAACTGTTGGAACTATTGGCATGTACAGATGCCTCCTGCTCAATTTTATAGAGACCATTCACAACTTTGGTTTATGAAATAACTTGAGAAAGCCTCTTTTAATCGGCTTTATACTTTCAGCAGTGATGCAGCTAAGAAAGTTGGGATTATTATTGGAGTGTTTAGGTAACAATTTATCTAAACATTTTGTTCCATGAAATAACTTACATGCCGCCTGAATAGGTGATGCATCTTATGAAATAGAAGCTATATTTGGATTTAGGCTGTGTAGGTAGAAAATTGCCAATTTATTAAAACAGTTAAACCTTGAATTTTTGGCGTCTGTTGGTTTCAGACTTTTACCATATTAGTGGTTCTTTTTTTCTTAAAGGAAGTTTTGAAAAAATTTGGATTGATAGGCTTCAAACTTGGATCTTAGAAAAATATTTTAATTGATTTTTGGCTGCGTAAGCGCCGATTTGCCAAATTTATTGAAATTGGGAAAATGAAAATCTTGATTTTCATATAAGTTGTGAACGGCTCATCCGATCCGTTTAAGAGCAAAATATCTAGGGATGATCTTTTGCTGAATTAGAAACTTGTGCTGCACTCAGTATTAGTCTCTATTAGTTAGTTTTGTTTTAGTTTAAAGGTGTAATATATGGCATTAATAGGACTTGTATCTAATTTTAAGTTCCTGTAATACCGTGTGTTGGGAACTTTAAAAATGAAACTGTAAATTTTAAGGACAATATAGGCTAAGTTTTGCCGGAAATGCTATGCATCGTATGGGTCTTCAAATTATTGTATGTTTCAGACTAATTTTGAAATAAAGATTTGTATTTAAATATTTGTACATTAGTTATGCCTTTCTCGGATCGCGTAGCAACCGCAAATTACCATTTCTTGAACTTTTGTTTTCCCTGTCCTCTTCCGTCTTGTGAAAAATGACATGTCATATTTCAGTAAATTTGGTTTTATGGATCACAATTACATCTGAGTGCGTTTTCTTTAACCATTTTATTGGGAAAGAGCAATAAACTAGTCAGGGTCATAGAGCGTTTTTCATTGTTTACCTGGAGAGGGTTTCGGGGATCAGCTACCCCGCGGCCCGGTCCGAGACCAGGCCTCGTGGTGGATCAGGGTTTGATCAACCAGGCTGTTACTACTGGCTGCACGTAAAACGACGTACGAATCACAGCCCGGCTGATCAGGTACTGACTTTAGACCAGACCGCGGGGGCGTTGATCCCCAGAATGCCCTCCAGGTAGGTACCTGTCCTGTGTCTTCTTGAAGACAGCCAGGGGTCTATTGGTAATCCTCTTTATGTATGCTGGGAAGCAGTTGAACAATCTTGGGCCCCTGACACTTATTGTGTTGTCTCTTATTGTACTTGTGACGCCCCTGGTTTTCATTGGGGGGAATGTTGCATCTTCTGCCGAGTCTTTTGCTTTCATAGGGAGTGATTTTCGTGTGCAAGTTTGGTACTAATCCCTATAGGATTTTCCAAGTATATATTATCATGTATCTTTCTCGCCTGCGTTCCAGGGAATACAAATCGAGGGATTTTAACCGTTCCCAGTAATTTTGCTTTATCATTCTCCAGGTCAACATTTTCGCCTGCCTTGAAGGGGGCAAATAGTGTACAGCAGTATTCCAGCCTAGAGAGAACAAGCGATCTGAAGAGAATCATCATAGGCTTGGCATCCCTAGTTTTGAAGGTTCTCATTATCCATTCTATAATTTTTCTAGCAGATGTCAGATTGTTAATATTTGTTTACATAATCAGCATTTTAAATTTCTTACTCATTTCATTCTGGCTTTGGATTACTTATATACTGTTTGGTGTTACCCATGTGTACAGGAGGGATGGAGTGGTAATAGATTGCAATAAATAACAAAAAGGCACAATACCATGACTGGAACAATACACAAATAACCCGCACATAAAAGAGAGAAGCTTACGACGACGTTTCGGTCCGACTTGGACCATTGACAAAGTCACACTAACAGAGGTGGAGCAGGACGGCTATATATAGGCAGGAAGAGGTAGTAGTAGTAGTACAAGAATTGTATATAATACCGACAGGATGAAATTAAGACACATGCACAACACCCGGGCATCCCCATCGTAGACGTTATACGCCATCCAGTGGCTGGCTGGATGGCGAAACGTCCACAACAAAGACAGCCAGAAGCCGCCACATGTGTCTTAATTAAGACACATGTGCGGCGTCTGGCTGTCTTTGTTGTGGACGTTTCGCCATCCACCCAGCCACTGGATGGCGAAACGTCTACGATGGGGATGCCCGGGTGTTGTGCATGTGTCTTAATTTCATCCTGTCGGTATTATATACAATTCTTGTACTACTACTACTACTACTACTACTACTACTACCACCACCTCTTCCTGCCTATATATAGCCGTCCTGCTCCACCTCTGTTAGTGACTTTGTCAATGGTCCAAGTCGGATCGAAACGTCGTCGTAAGCTTCTCTTTTATGTGCGGGTTATTTGTGTATAGATTGCAATGCTTTGCAGTTCTATATTCATTGGGTTTACACAGCGCTAAAGCTTTTTGACGAACGAGGATATATCTTAAATGTTAAAAAAAATGTTAGGCTCGTTGTTCATGGACTGCGCTTAGAAAACAAAATATAAATTTACTTCTCCATCAACATTATTTAAAGGGTTATACAGCACCTAGGAATTGGGAGACATTACTATAATGCAGTGATCAAAAGAGGGGTAACTTTAGTTCCACAGTTCAATAAGAAGAGGACTCATGGCCGCAGGAGTAATATATACTAATAACTATCAAAGAGCTTGGGAACAACCATAGGATCAGAAGGGTGTTGTTTATTTAAGGTCGGCAGCTCCTTCGGCAGGCTCAGCCTCCAAGAGAGCAAACAATATTGTCTCCCTGCATGGCACGTGTGCACGCACAGACCCACTGGAGTTCTGCGACACAGTAACAGAAGGCGAAAGAAGGATGAGTGGACGCAATATTCTTTGATAGAGGAATGAACAAGAGTGGGAGAAAAGCTAGACCACTAGGCATGAATAATAGGGGAGAGACAGCAGTGAGTCAAGGAATACCCGAACAGGAAGTAAACAGAGCGATTGTCAGAATAAACAAGGGTATACCTGGAGAGGTTTTTTTTTGGGGGGGTCAACACCCCCGCGGCTCGGTCTGAGACCAGGCCTCGTGGTGGATCAGGGTCTGATCAACCAAGCTGTTATTGCTGGCCGCACGCAAACTGACGTACGAACCACAGCCCGGCTGGTCAGGTACTGACTTTAGGTACCTATCCAGTGCCTTCTTGAAGACATCCAGGAGTTCATTGGTAATCTCCCTTATATATGCTGGGAAGCAGTCGAACAGTCTTGGGCCCCTGACACTTGTGTTCTCATTGTACTCGTGGCGCCCCTGCTTTTCATTGGGGAAATGTTGCACCTCCTGCCGAGTCTTTTGCTTTCATAGGGAGTGAGTTTCGTGGGGTGACAAGTAGGCTTCCACAAGTATCAGTACTGGGGCTTGTACTGTTTCTGGTGTACGTGAATGACATGTCGGAGGAGATAATCTGCATCTCTGTCCACAAGTGAAAAAAAACAAGTAAAATGAAAACAGGAAAGGACAGGAAAAGCTATAAATGAGCGTGGACAAGTTGCAGGGTTGGCATGACAAGTGGATATTGAAATTATGCTCTACATATTGTCTAAGGCACATAATACATAACCTCTACAGCAAATGTGCATCTGGCTTTCAGGAATCTCAGCAATCATTCGCGACACTGTGTATGACATATCTCCTCAAGGGAGGCTTCCTGATTTCGGTGGACTCTTGATCCAAGGAATTAGGACTGTAATCATCTTGGATTGCGCATAATTCCCTCATATTCCCCAGATGGTGTGTGACCCCCCTGAATATAAATAAGTAATCCATAGAATAGAAGGGGGGAAGAAAGGCTGGAGGTGCATTGAGGCATCTGTGGAAACAAAGAACTTTATCCGTAGAGGCAGACAAGGGGAATGTACCAGAGTATAGTGGTACCAACACTGTTATATATGAACCATACCACAGGCGGGGTTAGAACCCGTTTTGAGACTCTCTGATCGCGGGTTCTAACCCCGCCCGTGGTATGGTTTGTTTGCAATCGTGTCATTACGATTTCGTGAGTACTGTTATATATGGGTGTGAAGCATGGGTTTTAAATATAGTGAGGAGGAAGCTGGAGACAGGGGAGATGTTTGAGGGCGATTTGTGATCTGAATATATGCAGAGAATTCAGAGAGTGGACATTTATTGTGGGGTTACAAAAAGTATAATTCAGAGGGTTGAGGAGGGGTTGCTGAGATGAGTTATACACCTAGAGGTGATAGAGCAAAATAGAATGACTAGGAGGGTATATAAATCTGGGTTGAGGGGAAAGAGTAGAGGTCGTCCCAGGAGGTAAAGGTTTTGAGGGCTAAGAGTTTGAATATCCAGTAGGCTTGTGTTAACGCATTAGATCGAAGTGGAGGCAGGTAGTTTTAATGACCTTACCTGCTGTTGGAATGTGAGCAGGATAACATTTCTGCAAAGATTCAGGGTAACCGGTGAGCGGATTTGAGACCTAGATGTGCCAAGTACAGTACATGCGCTCTAAATTATTATTATAATCAAGGGGGAAGCGCTAAACCCAGAGGATTATACAGCGCCTGAGGGGGGGGGATGTGGAAGGCATTCAGGCTTAATTCGGGGAACTGGAGCACTGATCCAATTCCCTAAATCAAGAGCCCCTCACCAACATGCGCTCTAAACAATGATGGTGAATGTTTATCTTCTGTTTTCGGTCACATTCAGCTCGGTGGGAGACGGCCACTGTGTTAATAATAATAATAATGTATAGGACATACGTTGGCCTCATCTTGGAGTATGCAGCACATGTATGAAACCCACACCTGATCAAACATGCCAGGAAACGGAAAAATGCCGTTTTAAAACGAGACCATTTCCATTGGGAAGGGTATGAGGATACTAAAGGAGCTAAATCTGTTTGACACTAGAGAACAGAACAAAAGATGTGATTATTATTATAATCATAACTAAGCGCTAAACCCACAAGGGTCATACGGCGCTGACAAAAGACGTGATAACTTACAAAGTGTCGAAAAAAAAATTGATGAGGTGGACACAAATAGGTTGTTAGAAAAACGAGAAATAGGTGCATTAGATGTTTAAAAGTATTTTTTAAGTCTCAGCGAAGTAGTTGAGGCAGGATCCATGCATAGCTTTGAAGAAAAAAAAAACATTATCATAACAATGGTTATAAATGACCATAATTTTTAAAGGGGTGGACCGGTAAGCCAGCGGAAGGCCTCGGTCAGATGACCAAAAGCTCCAAAGGCGGGTCATCATCTGACTAAGACCCGCGTCAGGAAACATTTGTCCTGTTTCCTGACGAACCTTACCTAACCTAACCTGCATAGCTTTGAGTAGGTATGATAGACCTCATGAATATAATTAATATGCATAATATATATATAAATATATATATATATATAATCACAATGTCAATTCTAATGCAAACCCTGCTGTGAGACTTCCCGATAGCTGCAGAAGAACTCACAGGCATACAAAAACCTCTGATATCTCCCGCGTCCTAGTTTGGTAAAACAAATGTGCATACAAACCTAAAATCTGGAACTACCAGGCTGACGTTTCTAAAAGTCCCTCATCTTAGTGTAATCTTGACAGCAATAGGCAATGTCAAACAAAACCTATTTTATCCAATTCTTTTCCTGTTCTTCCAGCCTTTCTTCAACTCCCATTATTATTATTATTATTATAATCAAAAAGAAGCGCTAAGCCACAAGGGCTATACAGCATTCAACTCCCATATATAATTAATAGCATATATTGTCCTGTTATGTTTTTATTATAATTTAAGTAGCAAATTATTATTGAGGAGCGCTAAACATTAAGTAGCAAATGCCACTCATTCTGCTAAACTTGCTGCTGTCACCACCTCATTATTAAAACTAAGCGCTAAACCCACCAGGGTCATACAACACTGCCCGTCTCTATTAAATCGCTCCATCAAATTGAAGATCATTAAACCAGTTTAAATATGTAATTCATTTGTAACTGATTATTTGTACCCTTTCTTGTTGTACTAATGATTGTAGTTAAGTGCACACGAAATCTTACATAATAGTCTGTCTAGTTCTTAAGTAGCATGTAAGCCTTATTAGTTGCCCGAAATGCATTGCATGGTAGGTATTAAGTGTTGCAGGATCAACGCAGTATTGTGTGATGACTCACCATCACTCTTGTTCATTCATTAACCGCTCCTGACCAGCCAGGTTGTACGTCAGTTTGCATGCGGCCAGCAGTAACAGCCTGGTTGGTCATACCCTGATCCACCACGAGGCCTGGTCTCAGGGGTCAATGCCGCAGGGGCATTGACCCCTGAAACCCTCTCCAGGTATACATTCTATAATAGGAAATAATTCACCTATTTCGTTTAAAAATATTTTGTCTATCCTGACCGAATGTAGCACATGTTCAAAATAACCGTCAAGGAAAATGTCTTGATGAACGGCTCTTGATCACAGAAATTGGAGATCTCTCTCTTTCCTTGGATCAAGCCTGATTGCCCCTCATTTCCTAGGTGCTGTACGATCCCTATGGATTTTGCTTTTTCCAAATAATATACTATTAGAATCGAGTTAAACATTAAACCAATATGGCCCCTCAAGGAAGGTTCCTTGATGTTGGTGAGGGGCTCTTGATTTAGGGAATTGGATCTGTGCTCCAGTTCCCCGAATTAAGCCTGAATGCCTTCCACATCCCCCCCCCCCAGGCGCTGTATAATCCTCCGGGTTTAGCGCTTCCCCCTTGATTATTATAATAATAAACCAATATGGGTTATACAGCACATGGGGAGAATAGGAGGCAATCAGGGTATATCCAAGGAAGGTTCACTTTCTTAGATTAAAACAATTGTCATTAGGTATAGCATTGTATATAATTTATTTATTTTGCAGTGTGGAGAGTTTTATATCGTGTATTTCTTTAATATGCCAGTCACTTATTATTGAGGGAGATTATGGAAAGTTAACTGTTATGTTGTTATTGCAGTGCAACCGGAGCTCAGAGTGTGAGTTTGTGCCGCGGCTGGAGAAAACTTACTACGACACACTGCAGAGTCGCCGCTTTAGCGGTCGCTACCTGGCCATCTCCACCAGTGGCCGCATCAAACGTGCACGTCGGGTCCAGGGCCACCTGGGCAAGGAGAACTTTTTTCTTTACCGATTGACGCAGATACAGGAGGCGCGCCGTATTATCGAAAGGTACCAGAAGCGACTTTTGGGGCAGCTGCCACAACGCTGCGATGGCTACAATGAGTACAACATGACAACAGCAGGTAGTGATAGCGAGAGAGGGCGTGGTGGTGTGGCAACCCTAGCACCTACAGTAGGGCCTACGGCATACTCTACACCTACCACTACCACCACCACACCTACCACTACTTCCCAGCCCTTCAGAAGACCATGTCGCATTATCAAGGGTAAAAAACGGTGTGAAACGTGTACAATTGTTAAAGGAAAAAAGAAGTGCAGAAAAAGGCAAAAAAGGTGTAAGAATAAAAAATGTCGTGAAAGGAGAAAACAAAGGAAAGACAGGCAAAGACAGAAACAGAGGCAAGAACGAGGCAGCCGGGAAGTAAACACGACTGTTACAGTAAGCATACAAGCGCCGCCTCACACACGTAAAGTTACTGGGACTGGGAAGACCCGGCCTAGGCAACATCGCAAGCCAGCCCGACCAAGGCAACAACCAAGGTACACTGCTATCACGGTGACACCTCAGGTCAGGCGCCCCCGCAAGCACCACCTTCCAACACAAAAACCCACACACACACGTGGCACCCCTAGGGTATCAAGTGGACCCCCGTGGCCCACGCCCAGGACAACACAACGCACAGAGTGGCCCTTTCCCCCAGCGCCCTCGCCCGCCCGCCCGTACAGTGTCCGCCACGCCCATGACACGAGACGGCGGCGGCCACGGGGGCACCTCATTCCTCCCACCTCAACTGATGTTTAGTGTATATACTTCAGCCATACCATTTTTCATGTATATAATCGTACATAATATCTGTAAATACATAGAATTTCAACGTAAACACAAGGTCCAAAGGAAGGGGACTTAATTTATTTGATTTTTATTTATTGTTCAATGTTAAATTGTTTACCCCGGAATCAAAGGTCGACCACAATGTATGCGCTTGTCAATCTTAGTCATGTGTGAGGAAGGAGGGAGTGGGAGGAGGTGCTCAAGTGCTGGTTGTCCCACCACCCGAGGGAATGGTGCTACCTGATCCTACCGTGTGCCATACGCTCGCCATAGTGCAACTACTACTAGAAATTTGGAAACAAGTCAACATATCAGTGTACTGGGTCAGTTATGTGACTGTCATATAAACTAAAATGTTGGTTTTGAAGAAATAGTGTGCCATATTAGAAACTGTGTTAGGATTGGCAACGTGTGGGAGACACAACTGATCATCAGGTGTTCCACTGAGGACATTACTGATGTTCCAGAACTATGAGAACAGAAATATAAATATTATGAATGTCTCATGAAATCGTAATGACACGATTGCAAACAAACCATACCACAGGCGGGGTTAGAACCCGCGATCAGAGAGTCTCAAAACTCCAGATCGTCACATTAGCCACTGGGCCAGCTAGCCAGAATAAGATTCATCCAACTAGGTATATTTATACATCATAGGAAGGTTAGCATAGGCACCACTGTGACCACAAATGCAAGAGTTTACAGACGAATCTCCAGCTAGCGTGGCCGTGACGAACCCTCAAAGCCATCAACATGACTCACAGAATCGTAATGACATGATTGCAAACATACCATACCACGGGCAGGGATAGAACCTGCGATCAGAGAGTCTCAAAACTCCAGACTCATGTTAGCCACTGGGCCAGCTAGCCACAATAAGATTCATCCAACTAGGTATATTTATACACCATAAGAAGGTTAGCAAAGGCACCTCTGTGACCACAAATGTAAGAGTTTACAGACGAATCTCCAGCTAGTGTTTGTGGTCACAGTGGTGCCTATGGTAACCTTATGGTCTATAAATTTACCTAGTTGGATGAATCTTATTGTGGCTAGCTGACCCAGTGTGCTAACTCGACGTTCTGGAGTTTTGAGACTCTGATTGCGGGTTCTAACCCCGCCCGTGGTATGGTTTGTTTGCAATCGTGTCATTATGATTTCGTGAGTCATGTTGACAGCTTTGAGGGAACTTGAGCTAGAGTTTGTCACGGCCACGCTAGCTGGAGATTTGTCGGTAAAAACTTGCATTTGTGGTCACAGTGGTGCCTATGCTAACCTTCCTATAGTGTACAAATATACCTAGTTGGAGTAATCTTATTGTGGCTAGCTGGCCCAGTGGCTAACGTGACAGTCTGGAGTTTTGAGACTCTCTGATCGCGGGTTCTAACCCCGCCTATGGTATGGTTTATTATGAATGTCTATTACAGGATAACTACATTTCCATTTGTAATGGAGATTATTTAGTCAACGTGTTAAGAAGTATTGGTCATCAATCGGTGCTGCAGGTTGTTCCTCCCCAGATTACAAATTGTTAGAGCTTCAAAGTACCTCACACAAGGCACACATGGGCTTCCCCAAATTAAGATTGTGAGGTGATGCCTAGCACCACTGAAGCATGTTATACCCTCTGTGGCCCTGACTACAGCTATCATGCTTGTATTAATTGTGGTCTGTTAAGTAAAACAGGAGAAACAAACTGCAGCTCCGGCAAGACCAAGCCTCCTTGTATCTTTTGTTGCTCACAGCACTCCCTGCAGGGTTGTAGTCCTGCTACTCTTGTTCAGGGTTGTGTGGTCTGGAGGCTATTTTGCTCACTTGGCATTTGTACCACGCCTGATGAGGGCGCTCAAACCAGGTCCATGGTGCCCCGGACCTGCCTCACCCGGGAACCAAAAGTGTGGTTAGCAGTAAAAGGTGGTGATGTATTGGTCAACAGAACAGTGATAAGACAGTTCCAGCAGTTTTGAGTTACAGGAATCTACAGCAAGTGTGGCCCATTGTGTCTTATGTAATGGGCCAGCACCAGGCACTAACCAAACCATCCTCGCCACCACTTTCACTGCCACACAGGTGCTGGTGTCGTCACTCTTGGGCACAGCCAAGCCGATACAGAGGCTTGCTGGTGCCTGTATCCACCTAGGCTGACCCTTCTCCAGTCTAGTCACAAATGTCTTCCAAGGGTCAGCCTGGACCAGCCAGAACGTCAGCTGATTTCCTGCTCCATTTGTTCCTGTACTGTATAACCCATTACATTCTGAATATATAGTACTCTCAGTAATATCTTTGTCAATGAAGCCCAGATTCAGACTAGTGACCAGTTAAGGCACTTGCAAATCTTTTGATTACATAAGCTGCAACATTAACTAAATTTAAGCAGGACATTTTTGTAGGCCAATAGGACATACACACTGCAAGTCAAAGCTAGTACATAAAATCTGTGAGCATGGAACTTGCTTTCTGTAATAACTGGTGACACTTGTATTATTATTATAATCAAAAAGAAGCGCTAAGCCACAAGGGCTATACAGCGGTGACACTTGTAAACATTAGTGAAGCTGCTCTTGAATTTCACTATGAACCTGTCTTCCCCCTTCTCCTTATAACTCACATCAGACACCACAATGTAGAATACATTTTTTTTGTACCACAGTGCCAAATTTAAAAGTGCAAACCTCACTTTACATTGTTTTATCACAAAGCATCCATAATATGTGGGAGTAACATTTTAATTTTTACTCTCAAAAACATGCTGATGACTTATAAAGCAACTTGCATAATTTTTTTTTTTCAAACCTACAACTCAACAGTTCAATTCAATTATGCCTAGTCTAAACCTTGTTCCTGACGAGTCTAATGCTGCCTCTCTACCAAGTCAAAACTGGTTTTTACATTCTCTCGTGTAGATATTATCTCTAGTCTATTAGGGCTCCTTACATAAAGTATAGGAAGCTTTACAGCCACCACCAATCCAAAACTTGCCTAACATGTATCATAGCGATGAATGAATGAATGTGTGTGTGTTTGCACTGGAACCATCACTAACAGGAGGGGCAAGGCATAGGATTGAGGTATGTCACAGCCTTGGTGACTGAAATATCATACGTTTCATTCTTCTATGTGCAGGTTATTTGTGCATTGTCACATACTGTACCATTAAACACTGTCACTGCTTAATTCTAATACATTCAGCATGCATTTATTACAGGCTAGTTCCTCATTATAGTCATGTAGAAAGATGTTAGCGACTAAAGTTGTACTGAAAAATTTATTAATGTAGTTATTTTTTGTTGAAATATACTGTGCAGAGATCTCACAAATTGAATCTGATGGCTTAAATTATTTTTTAGCACTTTTTTATTTTCTTCTCCCAACCCATCATCTTTATTTTGGTAGTGCCTGTGTATCAAAGTTTACATGAACATTGTTTCTCATATATGAGACAGGTTCCTCAGCTGGAGAGAAGTGTCAAAATTTGTAAAAAAATTATATATAAAAATTATGTACAAAACTATTTTACTTGGTGGTAGAAGCAGCAACATCACCCAGGCCAAGTGATATGCGAGTCTGAGTGAATTAAAAATAATTACATTATTACACATGAAACTATATGCAAATATGCACAAAATTACTAAAATGAGATCCAAGAGGTGATAGTGTGTTCTACAACCATGAAAAAACAAGCAAAATTAAATAATATACTGAAGGCAGGATACTTAGCATAGCTCTGTTCCTATAACAACAAATAGGTAATTGCAGCAACATTATTCCTTTTTGATCCCCACCATCTTAACATGCATACATGAACATGTACAATACCCTTATAAAAACACTGAACAATACAGTATATAAGTTTTGGGTGCATTAACAGCTGATCAGTTGACGTTCTCCCAATGGATTATACAAGACTTGTTTCTGTGCATGTAGATATGTCAATGATATTGGTAAATAAAAGGTATTTTTTATCATAATAGCCACTGTTCTTTACCTGGTAACATAAAGAAAGGTACCTAAAAGTTTTCTTCCTATAACAAATATAATCTTGCCCTTGTGAGTATTACCAATGGCTCACTTCCAGGCAAATCAATGACATCTGACTTATCACCCATGAAGAATAGTACTTTGATATACGTATCTTTAACATTTTGTGATGTTAAACATGTAGTGATTCACATTGGTCTGGCATGGTTATGTACTTTTAACTCCTAAACACTGGCAATTTTTGACTAATTTTTATCACCTGTTCATTTCAGCAAGTCATGTTAACTAAGCAAACTGTCGATTTCATCTTTATGCATACAGGCAAATTTCTTTGCATATGTGTGTTGCATTGTTGTGCAATGCTGTTGATGTGCTGGTTTATGTTAGGTTCTTTAATGAAGGCCAATATTCTATAAGTACATTTATGTGCAAATTATGATAATATATAAATTTCTTTCCTGTAAGATGGCAGCAGTGGCTACAACTAACCCACCAGGTAGACTGTCTATAGGAAAGACTGCCAATTTTGGCCATGTTCAAATAGCAATGACAGCATTGCTTATCAGTTGTCTGCTAAGAGGACCACTACAGGTTATGCAGTACTAAGCCTACCTGAGCCACTTTTTCAAAACTTTTATGGCATGTAAACTCAGGCAAAAACCTCATACATGTCTGCCATCACAAATCTGGCATCTTGGGACCTGTAGTGTGCCGGATTATTGAGTTTGCCAGATTACAGAGTGGTTAGGTTAGAATACACTTAATAAAATTTACCAACTTGACTTGCACAAGAAAGTTCATTGAACATCGGCAAAAATCAAACATTTCCGCTATTTTGAGATCAAGGTACTTTTCATCGTGAAACCAATCAAAATCATATCTATTTCTGTAATATATCTTCCATTCTATCAAATGAGACCAAAAAAACGAGAATACAGCCATAAAAACCATGCGAAAATGTACCGCTAAGGGGCGGCTAGTGGCTGAGAAGTGAACTCCATTATTTATCGTCAGTTTTTTTAATTTTTTGCTGTATGTTAAGAAGCATCTTTCCATCATACATTGCCCAAGTTTCAGTAAGATAGCCCAACAAACAACTGAGAAAAAAAAATATTTACCAAAAATCATATATGGCAAGCCCAAGCCAGGTACTAGAAATAAGTCATTTTGTCTGACTTTTTTTGGTTATCCTAGGTTCTCTACATATATGCTGCTTTGTATGATAATCTATGTAGAGAAAATAGCTTTTCTGTTTGAGTTTTATGGTGCATTACGAGTGTATATCACAGTTAGTCCTGTGCTATACTCCGTTTTCTCTAATATAAGCCCCCAAGACAGGGATAGGAGGATGGTACTTGTATCCCATATTCTCTTCATACCTCCATCAAACTGCTTGGTATTATGCCAAATGTTATTCATTCTGGAGTACATATTTAAAATATTTCTGTTATTTATATTGTTTATTATGTCATATTAGATCAATTGTGACAGGAAAATAAGCCGTAGTGTTGATGTTAGAGTAATAATAAAGCATATTCCCTGCATCACATGACTGAGCTCATGGCAATCGACAGTGGCTTCAAAGCCACCTTATCTTTTATGGACAGTGTACTGTGTATGTGCTTTACACAAAGAGAATCACTTCTTTTATTCGTTGGAACCATGGCTAGGGCTAGAAGTGAGCAGGTTATAATAATGGAAAAAAAGAAATTGGAATGACTTAGGCAGCAAGTAGCACCACCAAACAGTACCAGCATGTTGGTGTGGCGACCCTGGAAATTTGGAATTATGCTAGTCGAAATAAGTGCCGAATAACTGATGAAACCGAATGTCTGACTGCCGGATTTGTGATGGCAGACCTGTACTAATATATTTCTTTATATAATTATGAATAGTATTTTGTTAGAAACATGCTATGAAAGGTCTTGCTGTAATATATAAATCATACCCTTCATCAATAGATTGTGTGCATACTCTCCTACCATTCACAGACATGAAAATACTTCCTAAATAATCAGCAGGTGCAGTAAATCTAGACTAAGTTTTGAGAATCTATGTCATCAAGAAAAGAGCTAAACCAGCCTGACGCCACTCGTAGTGAGGAGAGGGACAAGGTAAGTCAATACTACCAACTAACTGCTCTCGGTCAGAGGCAGCATAGACAGGAACAGATAGCAGCTCTTCATGGTACATTCTAGTTCCCAAATCCTGAAAAGATATTAATTTATTTAATAAATGCTGTATTATGTACAATTTGGAGAGAGAGGAAAAAAAAAAAAAAAAGAGAGGAGAATGAATGAATGAATCATCCTAAGTCTGTATGCCAAAAACAGTAAATATAATAATAATGGATAAAGTACAGTAATTGTAACTAAAGCATGTATTGTACCTGTATATTAATTCGATAAGAATTGTATTAACAATCCACTGGAAGTGAGGGACAGCAATGGTGCCCCTGCATTAGGAATTTTGTAAAACAGTGCATTCTTGCCCCATGCCCAGTGTGTTTCCAGTTATACCTACAAAATTAATCTCCATTTTGTCATATTCAACAACATATATGGCAAGACCTAGCACTTTCTCAAGAATTTAATTAATAACATAACAAGGACTCGCTTTAAAACATAATAATAATTTTATTTCTTTGTAAAGGTTACAATGTGTAATTACAATTTTGATTTGCTAAGTACAAAGATAGCCACTATCATGCTGAGGCATTTCGGGCAAACTAATCCTAATACATAGTAACTAATTAAAACTAGATAAGAGAATAGTACATAGTAATTATACTTAAAACTAAACATGGAATAGTGGTTAGCTGTTTTACAATCTTATTTGGAGTTAATAAATCTTATGTATACTTAGTGCAAAATCTAATTTACAAGGAATGGTGCAGGTGATAATATTTTATGGAATGGCAGAATTAAAAGCCAGGTGGTCACATGATAAAACTAGTCAGTAGATGTTTGGTTCAAGCACGTCTTCAAAGGGACTGGTAACACCTCATCATAAGTTGTGGCAAGGTGTCTAAGTAGCTGAAAGGATGAATGTGGCCTAGTATGGGTCAGTTCACATCCTGCAAGTCTTATTTAAAGTATCCCTCAAGGGAGGTTCCTTGATGCAGGTGAGGGGCCATCTTGATGCACAGAACTAAATCTGTTCCAATGCCTTGAATCGAACTGGAATGCTTTCCATTGCACCAGGTTCTGTATAACCTGTATGAGGTTTAGCGCTTCTCTTTGATTATCATAATGACCCGTGTGGGTTTAGCACTCCCTCATGAATATAATTTGTTTTATCACTCCAGCCATATCACACCAAGGTAACCCAACAAAGAAGAAAAAACTTTCAATGCCAATCACTGTCTTGCCAGAAGAGCACTTACACTGAAAAATTAGACACCTGTGCAACATCTGGGTATCTTTATTGTAGACATTTTGCCATCCATTGGCTTTATCAATACAAATTCAAGGACATACAGTGGAACCTTGGTTTTCATGATTAATTCGTTCCAGAAAGTCTGACGAAAACCGAATTGTACGAAAACTGAAGCAATATTTCCCATAAGAAATAATGTAAATCCAATTAATCCGTTCCAGACACCTAAATATATTAACAAAAAATACATTTTATAGAGAATAACTACAGTGGACCCTCGCATACCGTTGGCATCACGTAACGTTAAATCCGCATACCGATACATTTTATCACTAAAATTTTGCCTCGCATACCGCTAAAAAACTCGCTCAACGCTATTCGTCCAATACCCTTCTAATGTGTGGCCTGAGCCAGCTTCACATGTTCCGCCGGTGGCATTGTTTACAAGCCAGCCTCTGCGGTAACATCCAAGCATACAATCGGAACATTTCGTATTATTACAGCATTTTTGGTGATTTCATCTGCAAAATAAGTGACCATGGGCCCCAAGAAAGCCTCTAGTGCTAACCCAGTGGTAAAAAGGGTGAGAAATACTATCATACCAGTCAGCTGCTGCTGCACCACGGTCAGCTGTTGCTTGACCAGTCAGCTGTTGCTGGATCAGTCAGCTGCTGTTGCACCTCGATCAGCTGTTGCTGGACCAGTCAGTTGTTACTGGATCAGTCAGCTGCTTCTGCACCACGATCAGCTGTTGTTGGACCAGTCAGCTGTTGCTGAACAGTCAGCTGCTGCTGCACCAGTCAGCTGTTGCTGGATCAGTCAGCTGCTGCTGCACCACGATCAGCTGTTGCTGGACCAGTCAGCTGTTGCTGGATCAGTTAGCTGCTGCTGCACCATGATCAGCTGTTGCTGGATCAGTCAGCTGTTGCTGGATCAGTCAGCTGTTGCTGGACCAGTCAGCTGTTGCTGGATCAGTCAGCTGTTGCTGGATCAGTCAGCTGTTGCTGGATCAGTCAGCTGTTGCTGGACCAGTCAGCTGTTGCTGGATCAGTCAGCTGTTGCTGGATCTGTGGAGAAATTTTCTCCAGGAGGGGATATCAGCCCCCTTCAGCCCCTTTCAGCCCTGAGGGGCCCAGCCCTCTCAGAAGGGGCAAGCGTCTTGTTTACTGCTACAGTGAGTAATTGATCACAGATGCCGTACGAGTATGCGACGTGGTCAAGTTGACCGCTGCTCCTTGCAGTGCAGTGTTGCAAAGTGTAGTTTAATAAGAGACAGTACATCTCTTACTTTAGCAGGACAATTAAGGAAAATCCTGCTCCCTCTTTATTACCATAGTAAAGATAGTGGACATTGTTGTCTATGCTTAAGACAGCAAGAATCAAACATTCTGCTTTGCTTCATCGAGGAAGTGGCAAGGAAGCAAAAGTACTAGGTCAGCATTTTTTTGTGCTAGGGGAGTGACGGCATGGGGCGCTGTGGCGTCTTCAGATTACTTTTGACTCTACTGAGAGTGACACTGACGCCAGGATAACCAACAAAGAACAACGATCTGTGCGTTAGTGTGAACAAAGTGTCTCACAAAACACAATAAACACTTGAGAGAAGTGTGATCAGCTTCTCTTGTGATAAGATTGTGAACAATAAAGACAAATCTTGTGGAACATAGTGTACCAGTGTGCGTTTCCTAGACAATGGAAGACGTGGACATCCAAGGACACTTCAGCTTCTATCAAGTCACCGATACCTGTCGAAGGTGTGAAGAACACCATAGCTCACGTTACAAGAGCAAGGTATGTTACGAATTTCTTGTGGTACGGGGGACTGCGCAGTTCTTGAGTCGCAAGGAGTTTGTAATCAACCTATAGTCGGCAGTAAGGTGTGGACTTTTGAGTCCAAACAAGTATGTATTTTGTCAGCCATCAGTGAATGAAATATGCTGACATAACACCCCCTAGGGGTAATTTGTAATCTTACAAATTATAAATCTTTACAGCCCGTTGAAAGATGGTTTCGACAGCTTCTAGACCTCGTCTGCAGGGGCGGCTGTGTAGACGATTTGCTGTCTTTTATCAGCTAAGTGTTCACTATATTTATATTTATAAATTAAGCTTAGCTGGTAATGCCATTTCTCAACAGGATCAGTCAGCTGTTGCTGGACCAGTCAGCTGTTGCTGGACCAGTCAGCTGTTGCTGGACCAGTCAGCTGTTGCTGGACCAGTCAGCTGTTGCTGGACCAGTCAGCTGTTGCTGGACCAGTCAGCTGTTGCTGGACCAGTCAGCTGTTGCTGGATCAGTCAGCTGTTGCTGGATCAGTCAGCTGTTGCTGGATCAGTCAGCTGTTGCTGGATCAGTCAGCTGTTGCTGGACAGTCAGCTGTTGCTGGACCAGTCAGCTGTGCTGACCGCGGACCAGTCAGCTGTTGCTGGACCAGTCAGCTGTTGCTGGATCAGTCAGCTGTTGCTGGATCAGTCAGCTGTTCTGATCAGCATGCACCACGGTCAGCTGCTGTTGCACCATCAGCTGTTTCTGAACATGACTCGTCCCGAACCTGTCTGTCCAGCCTGAGCGCCTGCCTTGCCGTCATTGTTTACAAGCCAGGGTGGCTGGTTACATGTATACATTCGATACATTTTGTATTATTCCATTATTTATAGTGCTTGTAACTGCTAAATAAGCCACCATGGGCCCAAAGCTTCTAGTGCCAACCCTGTGGTAAAAAGGGTGACTAAATACTATCGTACCACGATCAGCTGATAAATTGGACCAGTCAGCTGCTGCTGCACCACAGCTGCACATTGGTCAGCTGTTGCTGCACCACAGCTGCTGCTGCACCATGGTCAGCTGCACCACAGCTGTTGTTGTTGCTGCACCACCATCAGCTGTATTACTCGAAGATGTGGAGAGAGTGTTGTTGGTGTGGCTTAACGTGAAGCAATTACCGAGAAACGATTAACCCCGGAGGGTTAGCCACCCAGGATAACCCAAGAAAGTCAGTGCATCATCGAGGACTCTCTAACTTATTTCCATTGGGGTCCTTATTCTTGTCTCCCAGGATGCAACCCACACCAGTCGACTAACACCCAGGTGAACAGGGAAAAACGCCTGGAACTAGTGCTCATATTGGTGAATTTAAAGCCAGCAAAGGTTGGTTTGAGAGATTTAAGAATCGTAGTGGCATACACAGTGTGATAAGGCCTGTTCTGGAAGAAAATGCCAAACAGGACCTACAGTACTCAGGAGGAAAAGGCACTCCCAGGACACAGTGTCTCATCAGTTATTGCTGCATCTTCAATAAAGGTAAGTGTCATTTATTCTTCATTTAGTAGAGTAGTACATGCACAATATATACTGTGCATGTACTACTCTACTATTGTGCATGTATCCTTCTCTTTGTGTGTAGGAAAATGTATATTTCATGTGGTAAAATTTTTTTTTCATACTTTTGGGTGTCTTGCACGGATTAATTTGATTTCCATTATTCGTTATGGGGAAAATTCATTCGCATAACGATAATTTTGCATAACAATGAGCTCTCATGAACGTATTAATATCGTTATGCGGGGGTCCACTGTATAGTTTTACATACAGAAAATAATGAGAAATAAATGTAAATGACTAATGAAATGGATAAATGAACATTTAACATCACTTTTACCTTTACTGAAGACTCTTGTTGGCATATGCAAGATGGCGAGCAGGGGAGAGGGAGGAGGAGAGGTTATTGTTTGGCAGGGAAATCCCCCTCCATAAGGACCTCGTGTATCAAGGCCCTATCTGGGGTTACTTCCCTTCTTTGTCTTTTACTGGTACTAGGACCAGCTTGAGAGTCACTGGACCCCTGTCGCACAAAAAAATCTGCCAGAGAGGTCTGTTTCTGGCATCTCTAAGATTTGCCTAACATGGGACAAGGCATTGTCATTGAACATGTTGCAGACACGGCTTGCAACAGCTCTGTTAGGGTGATATTTCTCCACAAAACTTTGCAACTCATTCCACTTTGCTCACTCAACGAGAAACAAAGCCAGACTGAGTCAGAACACTTGGGATTCTTTGTGTGGGCCCAGGCAGGTAGGCGAATTTGGTATGGTGGACCATTGTCAACTCTTGAAAATCGAGCAGATGTACGAAAACTGGGACAAAATTTTAACGAAAAGAGTCATCGAAAACCAAATCCTACGAAAACCAGGGCATATGAAAACTGAGGTTCCACTGTAATTGGGAGACAACTATATACAAAAGATGAGGTAATCAGTCCCTCAGCCTTGGAGTTGGTGTGAAGAGCACCGTAGTTATGAAGATTCTGGAGCACAGGCAAGAAGGCTGGCGCTTATATACTGGCGACAGGTGAAAAGGGAATGGGTAGCAGACAAGGGCATAGTCACTGGTAAGTGAGATTCCCCAGTGGAAGTAGGTCATACCCAAGGCATGGGTTAGTGGTGGCGGCGGCGGCGGCGGCAGCGGCGGCGGCGGCAGCAGCAGCAGCAGCAGCCATAAAGGTTAGGTAGATGTCCTCTAAACCAAGATTCCATGATGTTGCAGTGTCTGACAAATTGTACATGGTATACAATACTGACAAGATGAAAAATTAGGCACATGTGCAACATCTGGGTACTTTTATTGTAGATATTTTGCCATCCAGTGGAAAAAAGTTGGTATTGTATACCATTTACGTACAACTTGTCAGACATTGCAACATCATGGAATCTTGGTTCAGAGGACATCTACATAACCTTCTTCACCGCTGCTACTACTACTACCACCACCACTAACCCGTGCCTCGGGTATGATCTACTTCCACTGGAGAATCCCGCCTACCAGTGACTATGCCCTCATCTGCTACCTGTCTCTTTCCACCTGACACCAGTATATAAGCGCCAGCCTTCTTGCCTGTGCCCCAGAATCTTCATGACTACGGTGCTCTTCACACCAACTCCAAGGCTGAGGGACTGATTACCTCATCGTTTGTATATACATATAGTTCTGTCTTCCAATTATGTCCTTGAATTTGTATGATAATGCCACCAGATGGCGAAAGGTCTACAATAAAGATATCCAGATGTTGCGCATGTGTCTAATTTTTCATCTTGTTGGTATTGTATACTATTCATGTACAGCACTTACATTACAGCTTAGATGACTCCAAAGTGTGCAATATCAGTGACCCCGTTAACATATTTTCACTTCCAGAAGTAGTTCAGGTGCAGTACTGACCGAATTTTCCATAGGAAATATGTGAAGTGATTAGTCCAGTTTCCAGACCTCCAAACATTACACGTCAACCACTTACCAAAAATACACTACATAATTGTCCATTCGAGAACACTTCTGCGGTGCACTGTAACCCACCTCGTTCAGAGTGCAGTATTACTTCCAACTTCAGACCAAAGTCGGTTAGCAGTTTCCTAATCCTAATAAAGTCCTTCTCACCACTCCAACACACTCATCATAGAAGACCCACTCCTTCATGACTACTTCATGATTTATTAACACAACCCTAGCACTAAAACTCCTTCCCCCAACTTCTGGAGACCTACCCTCCTTCCAAACTTTCCCGATCTTATTCTCTCTTTGTCTTATTTTTCCCCATCCTCACTAAATGTCCAAACCACTTCAACAACCCCTCCACAGCCCTCTGAATATGTTTGGTCACGTCACACCTCCAATGAATCTCCAAACTCCGAACTCTCTGCATAATATCCACGCTACACACTGTCCTCAAATGTGGCATCTCCACTACCTCCAGCCTCCTCACTGCAACATTCAAAACCCATGCTTGACACCCATACAACAGTACTGTACCATTACTTTGATACATTTCCCTTTTTGCCTCTGTTGATAAAGTTCTTTGTCTCTATAGATGTCTCAATGCACCACCCACCTTTTTTCCTTTGTCATTTGTATGGTTCACCTCATCTCTCATAGAACCATCCACTGTCAAGTCTACTCCCAAATATGTGAACACATTCAGCTCCTCCATACTCCCTCCCTCCAATTGATATCTAATCTCTCATTGCCTCTATGCTTCTTCCTATACTCACTGCTAATTTCCTTCTTTTACATACTCTCCCAAATTCGTTTACCAACTTTTGCAATGTCTCTTCAGAATCTCCCCAGAAAAACCTGTCATCAGCAAAAAGCAACAATGACAGCTCCCACTCATACCAGATTCACAATCTTTCAATCCTACTTTTTTCCCCAATATCCTGGTGAATCCCTGTTTAAAGCCTACTTTTACTGGAAACTAATTCTGCTCTCTTCCACGTACCCTAATCTGAGCCTTGCTATCCACAAAAGACTCTTTACTGCTTTAAGTAACCTACCACCTATTCCCAAGCATTTGAAACATCTGCCACATTGCTTCCCTATACATCCTATCATATGCATTTTCTAAACTTATAAATGCAATGAAAAGTTCCTTACCTTTATCCAAGTATTATTCACTGATGTGCTGCATTGTAAATGCTTGGTCTACACATCCCTACCCTTCTTGAAACCTTGTTTCTCTGCAATCCCACTCTGTCTTACCCATAATTCTTTCAACAATAACTCTACCATAAACTTTACCTTGTATACTCAACAGGCTTATTCCCCTATTAGTCTTACATTCTCTTTTATCCCTTTTTCCTTAAAGAAAGTAACAATGCACAATTTCTGCCAATCCTTAGGTACCTTTACCCCTTTCAGGTATATATTGAACAAATGCACCAACTACCCCAAAACTATATGCTCATCTGCCCAGCTGTTTTACTTCCTTTCATTCCATCCATTGCCTTACACAACTCCCCCTCACTCTAAAAGGTGTTGTACACCTTCCTGACCTCATTATGATGTTCATATTACAAGAGATGTCAGAAAAAGGGATATGATAAGCTAAAAGTGATTTGAAATTTAAAGTTGCAAATGAATCCAAGACAATCCTAAAAAGGACCCTTTTCAAGTGTACAGAATAAAGATTAGGGAAAAAGTTGGGTTCACTTAAAACTAGATCTGGACAATTACTGACAATGAGGGGAAGGGGAATTGTTAAATTTTTAATTTTTAAGCTATATCCTGTTGGTCTTCACACAAGAAGACAAATTACATTCCGGCAATTAATAATTCTAGAGGCTCTGCATAAAATAAATTGTCAGATCCTAATTATTTGAGAAATGGTCATTCAACACATAGATAAACTAAGACAAAATATATCTCATGGCCTTGACAAGCTGTTTTCTAAAGTACAGTATTTCAGAAATGCAGGATGTAATATCTAGTGAGCTGCTAACTTCTTGCCTGTTTAATATATCACTGTAAAAGGGTACCATGCCAGAGGTGTGGAAGATAACAAATGTAATTCCCATCTACAAAACTGGAAATAACTCTCTACCACTGAATTACCACCCAGTAAGCCTAATCTAAACAGTAGGCAAATTATTAAAATCAATAATAGCCAATATAATTAGAAGTCAACCTGAACATAATTTGACTGAGTCATCACATTGATTCACAAGTGGTCATTCTTGACTAATAAATTTACTAGCTTTCTTCAGTAAGGCATTTGCAGCACTGGAATATACAAATTATACAATTTTAAACTAAATCTCACTGATAACTACTGTGGGAAGTAACCATGATAACTATTTCAACTTAAGTTTTTACATATTAATAGTACATATATGCATTTATAGATGAATGTAATTTGCTCACCTTTGGCATCCATGCTACTGTGCACAAAGGAGCAACAGTAATGCTGGGAGAATCATGAGAGTTATGCATTAATCGAGATCCATCAAAAGTGGCGCCCTCCATCTGGAGTCCGCACCATTTCATAGCAACCTTAGCATCAGGAATTCCACCACGTGACCAGGAGGTAACAAATTCCAGATTATCCATTGAAGTTCCATATTCCCTGAAAGTTAGATATGTTAAGTAGAATTACTCAAAAACCTCAACTTATGTTTATATCAATAAGCTTGTCAGAAAAAAATGACCTTAACAAATATCTCAAACCTTGCAGTCTGTTGACGAAGAGCATTTAAAAAAGTGGCTGGATGCAGGAGCTCAGAAAGGTCCAGTGCTTCTTTGAGAAGGCTGTTCTGATCACTTTTAGCCAGCCATTTTCCAATACCCAGTGCACGTCTTATAATGCTCCTTAAATAATCCAATGGGTCCTCTGGTCCTTCCCACATTTTCTGCCAACTGCCAGGAGTCTACAAAATACGTATTACAAAGAAGACTAAATTTTTACATTGGTTTCATTGTAACCAAGAAGCTTCAAAATATACATAAACCAAATGCATCTTTCTCTTCTGCAGTACCAATATCATTTAAACAGTTATATGGTAGGAGCTGGGCGAAGTTATTACTGTATAGCAGTTAAAAAGTCTAAGGACTGATTCTTAAAATGTCTAAGGACTAATGCTGAAAAAGAAAAAAAGTTATTTTGAATGGAATTACATTACAGTATCTCTTCATAGTATTACAAATGCAATCATATATTTACCATTACAGTTTCATTCATATATACAGTATTCAAGCTCTGAAAGCAATTTTAAACTATTCTAGGCTGCAAAAGTTCTTGAAAATTGGAACATAATGTAAAAATAGCATTGTGTGAAATAATGAATATTGGGAAAAAACAGTGTTAAGTTCCAAATATGTACCTCCAAATTTACCAAAATTTTTTTTTACTATTTTATCAGGTAAAAATTATTACAATATAACTTACTGTATATACTCAAGCATATAGGTTGAGACTCTAAAGAC